AGAAAAGGTGAAATCGTGCTATTAATACGAAAAAGTAAATATCACATAATTTCATTTTTATGCAATTGAAATAGAAAAAATTTAAATAATTTACCTTGAATGATATTTCATAAGGCTTCAAGCTAACTGCAGATGACTTTAGCTTTTATATAATAACTTTTACTATTATTGTTTTTAATTATATGCTCTTTTGCGTGAAAAACTTGATTTGCCAGTACTCGTTTTTCCCTTTCTTCTCCGTTTGGAGTTGAAAAGATATATTATGATGAATTTTGAGAAACCCAGTTTATAATACTACATTTATTTTGTACATAAACTGAAAAAATATAGTTAAAAAACTAATTTATTAATAATTGTCAATTTCGCATGTATTTAACAATGTCAAACATATGTCATATGTTTAACCTGAAAATTGGGACTCCAAAATTGTCAGATGAAGGCGGTAGGTGTCGCGTCAGTCACGCACGGAGCGAATAGTACATGTTTATTATTGTTTGTTGTTTGAGTACGATCGGAGCACACTTTATTTTTCGCGATGTTGGAGTATGGAAAGACAGACTGCAATCAATTCAGCATGTGGTTCTTAAACGCATTAACGACTTTGGCACTAGGATCACTGACACTGCTATTACTGTCAGACATTATTATACAAGTATTAATAAATTTACACTTAATATAATTTACTTACCGACCACTTGAACACGTTAAATAAATTTAAAATACTGATTCCCGTTCCCGTCTCGTCACAGGCAAGGCATCATAGGATTCAGGAATTTTATCAATGAGGGGTGAATCACCCTCAAAATACCCCCACAGAAACAAAAAAATCTCAAATAGATTGTCATCAATCAAATATATGTATCCTTTAAATTAAAAATGCGACGGAATCAGTGTTAAAACGGTAGATCGAAGTGGAAAACAGTAGATCTACCGTAATAACGGTAGACCTGGCTGCACTGTTTGTGAATTTGAAAGTTGAAAGTCAACAAGTGTAAGTTATTGAAGTACAAAATTAAGTGCAGTAAAACAAGTGTGGGTGACAGAAGAAATACTGAGACTCATGGACTAAAAAAGAGAAGTCACAAATAAAGATAAAACGAATACAAAAAGATCCTCCCAATAATCGGGTAAGAAGGTAAGACATACAAATTCGTAGTACAGAATGTAATGAAATTGAATACTATGAAAAGAAAAACGATACATTTCATCTGCACAAGAAATGAACAGAGATTATCGCTATCTCTACAGAAACTACCATACCAAAGTTTAGAAGACAAGAACGGTCACAGAATATTAGAAATACATGAATAGTTAAAATAATGGAAAAATGTTGTAAGTATAACACTACTGAATCGTACTGAAATGCCGGAACTGCGGTTTAAATTGAAACTACATTTATTTTATCAATTAGATATTTGGCTGATTATTTTTTTTTTCTAGGCAAACAAAATTATTGAAAATTGTTTAAAAAGGAGTGTTTTAAACAAAGTATACTTTGCGTTTCAACTATACTAGAGCGCATTTCAAAAATCCAACCCAGTTTCAAAATAGACCGATCGGAAAACAATGATATATCTTGGGTTCTACTGGACCAAACTATTTTTTAAGTGGGGTACAACTTTAAAAACATTTATCATATTTTCACTGCAAAATAATCCAAAACAAAACAACTAATGACTACGGGATGTATAAACATTTTGTACAAGGTACAAAAATAAAATAAATGTAAACTATCGCTCTGATGGAATTTCTGTTAAAGAGAGGCTTGTTATTATCTAAACTTTTTCACTTTATAAAACGTGGAAACATAAACAAATAATTTTGTTTGATTTGTTTGACAAACCTTGTCACTTTTTCGATATTGCTATTGGCTGCGATAACAAAAATACAGTTTTATTTTATGTTCTGAGATCGTGACTACAACCACAGAAGGGTTTTTGTATTCTGTGCTACAACGGCCAACGGCAAAAGATAAAGATGGTTCATCTTGAACGGAACCGAACGCCGACGCCAACGGCGAACGATGTTTATAAATAGACATACGAGTTTTCCATTTGACCATGTTGTAACGCGAACGTCAGCGCCAGCGCCAACGCCAACGTAAAGTTTATAAATCAGCCTTTAAGACATACAAACAGTCACTAAGAAGCTTTGTTGCAGAATAAGAAAACAAAAAGAAGCTAAACTAAAATCCGAGACTCTAGAACAGATAGAGAAAAGAAGAAGAAGAATGAACAGAGATAACCCGGACCATAAAGCGCTCAATAGAAGCGTTAAGAAAAATATTCGAAAAGACCTCAGAGCTTATAGAACAAACCTGATTCTTGAAACCATAGAGAACAATAAGAACATGAAAGTACAAAAAACATGTAAATCCACTGACAGGGAATAAAGTCATAAAGATAAAAGACGACCGTGGAACATTATGCTCGCATAAGGAAGAGATCGTTAGAGAAATCCGAAAATTTTATGAGAAGCTGTATACTTCTACTATTCCGAACCCCGGTATACCAACAAAGCATATCTTAAATGTGGGCTCAGATGATCTCCCTGAAATAATAACATCAGAAATTAGAGCCGCCCTAAAACAAAGGAAAAATGAAAAAACATCAGGAGAAGATAAAATCACTTCAGAGCTAAAAATGGGAGGCACTGCATTAGAAGAGGCAATGAGAGCATTACTGAATAAATGCCTATTGGAAGGACAAATACCAAAAGCATGGAAAAATGCGAATTCTACTCCATAAAAAAGGCAACGCCAAAAATATAGAAAACTACTGACCAACAAACTTATTGTCACACCTTTACAAACTACTAACCCGAATAATAACAAATAAATTGACAACTAAGCTAGATGAATACCAACCAGTGGAGCAAGCAGGCTTTCGTAAGGGTTTTAGCACTATCGATCACTTGCAAACAATCCGGATAGTTATTGAAAAAATAATATAGTACAACATACCACTACATCTGGCATTTGTCGATTATCACAAATCATTTGACAGCATCGAGAAATGGGCTTTCTTAACAGCATTGGACGACGCCAGAGTAGATTCAAGATATGCTACCCTCCTTAAGAATATATACGATGATGCTGCTTTTCACGTAAAAATAGATGATGATCTGGAAACTATGAAAATAGACCTTGGCAAAGGTGTGAGACAGCGCGACACCATCTTACCCAAGTTATTTACATTGGCATTGGAAAAAGACTTAAAAAAACTAAATTGGGCCGAAAAGGAATTAAAAATAAATGGAGTATATCTTAACCATTTGCGTTTCGCAGACGAAATAGTACTAATAAGCACAGATATCCATGAACTAAAGTCAATGCTACAAGATTCAAATCACAAATCGAATCAAATAGGATTAAAAATGAATCTCTCGACAAAACAAAGATATTAAGCAACAGCACCTAGAAATTAAAAGGATACAATTGTCATGGGCTGCTTTTGTTGAGCTTCATTTTAAAAGACAGAAAAATCCCAATACACTTAAAACGAAAAACCTATGACACTTGTATACTACCAGTTGCAACTTATGGATTGGAATAACAAGAAAAATGGAAGAACAATTTAAGTATCGAAGAACTAAAGTAACCGATATCATGGGAAAAATAACAACATTGAGATGGGAATGGGTAGCACATGTAGCAAGACAAGACAACAACAGATGGTCTCATAAAGTGAGATTCTGGAGAACCCGAAAAACACAAAGAAGCGTGGGAAGACCCAAAAAGAGATGGATAGACGATATAACAGCTGTAGCTAGAAAGCAGTGGATGAGAATTGCAAAAGATAGGGAAGTGTGGAAGCAATTGGAAGAGGCCTATGTTCAACACTGGATAAATGAAGGCTGAAGAAGATGTTTTTACAGAATGTTCCATATACGCGAGATTTTATGACGCCAGATTGCGCGATAGGCTAATGGGATATCATAATAAATGAAATTTTGTTATAGCAATCATCACGGTGACCAATAAAAAATTGTTGACTATAATTTTCATCTTCAGTTAGTATGGGTTATCTTCCTTTTAGTTTGGAACTACCGTATGTCTTGAAGTTTTAGCCGTTACGCATTTCTGGTGTAGCAATTTGGGGTTACATGTAATCCACTATGCACACAACACACCCATGTTGAATATTCTGTGAAGAGATGCCAGTCTCTCCCAACTATTTCCTTTCATTTGTAATGACTATTGTTGTTTATTTTTAATATCATTGCACTTTTTTATTATTATTTAATTAATAGTGTACCGGCATGTAAGTAATGTTTTGTTTATTTACTAATTTATTACAATTCAATAGACTATTTTTATACCAATTTGTGGGACTTACTTTGTCTGCTTAAACAGCTTATTCATTTTTTGAAAAACCACAGACATGAAATATTGGCATAATTACTGTAATTTATATCATTTATCTTTATAAGACAACACCCTAATATGGGTTTTATTATTTCAGCATTTAATTAACTTTGTATCGACAGACCCGAAGATGCTTTGCATATTGTAGAAAGCGAAACCGGTCGTCTAGATAGTTAAATTAAACTGATTGTAAGTAAGTCTTATTTATTATTTCTTTTACCTAATTGAAATTGACTCACACATGCAACACATTCATGATTTAAAAGTTTATTATTTAATTTTCATTGCGCCACCTATGTTTTACAGAAGGCACCGAGACTCGGTGTCAAATTTTATTTTTAATACTTGTTCAATTGACATATAAACTTTACATAAATGTAATTGTTTTAAACTTTACTTTCCATACTTAGGGATTATATGCACTATTATGGCACGAAATTGATAAAGAATAAACATAGTAATCAATGACTTTCTTTGTTTATTTTACTTAGTATTTGGCCCAAAAGAATTTGATAGTGATATAAACATACCACTTTGATTAATTCAGGGGTTTTTCTTTACATGAGGCTCTGAAGATGTCGGAAGAAGATGAATTATCCCATTCTCAAGCTGATATAGTTCCATGTGGTTCCAGTATCAAATTTGGTTAAACCTGAGAAAGTTTTGAAAATTCCACGACAATACCAGTGGTCTAAAGAAGAAAACATCTCAGAGGAAGCAGAAATATTTGATGATTGGTCAAAGGATAATGATCTTAATACTGATACAGAAAATACTCCCATAGACTGGTTCATGAAATTGTTTGATGAAGACATTTTTGATTTACTGGTTGTCGAATCCAATAGATATGGAAGTATGAAAAATAAGCCTATATGTATCCTAGAAATGAAAGCATTCGTAGGAATTCTTATTCTTAGTGGTTACGCCACAGAATAATAAATAATCAGAATACCCACTCTGCTTGAAAAAATAAGTACGAGCATCTCTTTCGCGCAGAAGGCATCAGCCATGTTTTAATCGGAACCAGTGCTGTTTAGTGAAATTTTATCTGTTGTGCATAGAAAAATTAACCCGGTTTAATTTATTAACGGCAACCATACACATAATATGCACTATTTTATTCGTGCTTTTAGTTGAAGGATAGATTAAATTATTTCAAATGTACTAAATTATTAATCTCTAAAAATTTAAATTAGTTTTGTCTCAGCTAAACTGAGAAACAAATTTCTCAATTAGAGTCTGTTTCCGTTTAAAATATGGCGATCGCGTGCTGACAAACTTCAAAGGCGGCATATTAGAGTGGGCATTCTGATTGTTATTCATTCTGTGGTTACGCTCAGTACCCAAGGAAAAAGATGTATTGTGAAAACGATAAAGATGTTTGTAATTCCCTAGTTTCCGGGGCACTTTCTAGGGATAGGTTTGATTTTATAACGAGTGTTCTGCATATTGAAGATAATAATAATTTGGACCATTCTGACAAATTTAGTAAAGTTAGACCTCTCTTTAGGTTACTAAATCAAAATTTTAAAACATGCAGTTTTAGAAGAGAACCACAGCGTTGATGAAGCCATATTTCTGGCGTCACGGTTGCAAGCAGTTTATAAAGAGTAAACCGATAAGATGGGGATATATCGGAAAAATATTACCTTAGTATCACATATTCTAAAAAAAAAGGCAAAGTGGTTCTTGCTGTCTCCTCCCTACATACAGATGATGGAATGAATTCCGAAACTGGTGAAAAAAATAAACCTAAAATTATCACATTTTACAGCATCACAAAAGGTGGTGTAGATTGTGCTAATCAAAAATCAGCTGCCTAAAATGTTAGCAGGAACACCAGAATATGGCCTATGTAATATTATAGAATATAATAAACTGGGTGGAGGATGCTACTACTGTCGAAATCGGAAAACAAGATATTGTTGCAAAAAATGTAGAAAATGGCTGTGCCTGGAACATGTACTTCCCATGTGTCAAGATTGTGTTACACAAAATTTGAAGTTTGAGAAATATTTGCAAACATTTACCATTGTTTTCTTTTTTTTGAGGTTTGTTTATATCAGTTCCAAATAAAGAATTGTTGTTTGTTTAAATTGATAAAATGTTTTATATTATAAAAGAAGGTAGACAATAAAAATGGTATAAACATTTTTTTTTTCAATTTTTGTAAGATATTTAAATACATAATGTGTGTCTCTTAGACACTACTCGACCTTTGGTGTAAAACAAATTCACCCGGTTAACATCCAAGGGTTAACCGACTTAAAAGGTTGTGTATGCAAGTTTTGAGGAATAGAATGAAATACGTTTATCTCTTTGGTAGATTTATTTTTATTGCAATACAATTTTTCATCTAAGAATTCTGAAAATAGAAAATAAAATTGAATGACATTATTTCACAAGGAACAAATAATCATTAAGAAAAAAAAGTGATTTGTATGACATCACTTTTAGGGTTTTTCTTCAATATATGTTGTTTAAAGTTAACTGATTGAGAGAATAGTTCCAAAAAAATTTCACGCAATTAAGGTTTTTCTCCAGTGTGAATTTGCATATGTTTATCAAAAGTAGATTTATGTACAAACTGCTTAAAACAAATTTCGCACTTGTAAGGTTTTTCTCCAGTGTGCGATCTAAGATGTGTTTTCAAATTATTTTTCTGAGAAAACTGCTTTAAACAAATACCGCACTTGTAAAGATTTTTTCCAGTGTGAACTTTTTTGTGTCCATCCAAAGATGTTTTCTGAGAAAACTGCTTAAAACAAATTTCGCACTTGTAAGGTTTTTCTCCAGTGTGCACTCTCATATGTATTTTTAAACAACTTTTTCTTGCGAACTGTTTAAAACAAATTTCACACTTGCGGTTTTCCTCAGTGTGGAATTTCGTATGAAGTTTCAGAGCGCCAGCATGAGAAAATGAATTAAAACAAATTTCGCACTTGTAAGGTTTTTCTCCAGTGTGCACTCTCATATGTATTTTGAAACAACTTTTTGTTGCAAACTGTGTAAAACAAATTTCACACTTGTGATTTTCCTCAGTGTGCAATTTCATATGAAGTTTCAGAGCGCCAGCATGAGAAAATGAATTAAAACAAATTTCACACTTGTAAGGTTTTTCTTCAGTGTGCACTCTCATATGTATTTTTACGCAACGTTTTACTGCGAACTGTTTAAAACAAATTTCGCACTTGTAAGGTTTTTCTCCATGCACTTTCATATGTGTTTTTAAACAATTTTTTACTGCGAACTGCATAAAACAAATGTCACACTGGTAATGACGAGTGTGCAATCTCAAATGTTTTTTTAAAACATCCATTCGAGAAAACTGCATAAAACAAATTTCACACTTGTAAGGCTTTTCTCCAGTGTGCACTCTTAAATGTTTTTTTAATCTACTTAATGTAGGAAACTGTTTAATACAAATATTGCACTTATACGGTTTTTCTCCAGTGTGCATTCTTAAATGCTCTTTCAAAGAAAATGAATAGGTAAACAGTTTAAAACAAATTTCACACGCGTAAGGTTTTTCTCCTGTGTGTGTCCTCAAATGTTCTTTCATATGAGATTTTTGAGAAAACTGTTTAAAACAAATTTCGCATTTGTTTTCTCCAGTGTGAAATCTCAAATGTTGCTTCAAATTACTTTTTGAAGAAAACTGCTTAAAACAAATTTCACATTCAAATGTTTCTTTTTTAACAGGTCGGCCGATACATTGTTCTTTATTACATGAACGTGGCGATCTTGCTTTCATAGTTTCTGAAGTGTTTTTTTCTTCGAGAAAGCCTAAAATAAAAAACAAAATATAAATTTTTTTAATTAAAAAAAAAATTTTGCAATAGAACAGAAAATTTTAAAATTCAGTGTCTATTGACTGAAATTAGGTAAAGTTTGCACAATCTAAACTTAATGATTTTCGATAAATTTGATACATTAAAATGTTATTGTTGTATATGAGTCCGGCAGCGGAATAAGAGACACTGTGAAAAAGACTAGGGGTCGATAGTGAGGTTAGGTGGTGGAAGGCCGTGTGTCATCGAGTTAAAATCTAGATTCTAACTCGATGCCGTGTGTCTACGGAGCCATTCCTAATGTATGTTTGTAACCACTGTATCTTTTAATAAATAGTTTTGTACAATAGTCGGTGCCTCATTAAATACATAACATATTTGGCGACGAGTCACAGAAAGAATCCACGCAAAAGTCGAAAAATGTCGTTAATTGGATACATTGAGCAGTTGTTCAATCTTGCGAAAAGTGATATCACCTCTTATATAGAGAGACTTGAGCAGTTGTTTATATGTAATGTAGTGGAAAAAGACAAGGAAGTTCCATTATTGATTTCTTTAATTGGCGGAGAGACTTACAGTGTCTTAAAAGACTTATTAGCACCAGAGGTACCAAGTTCAAAAACATTTGAGGAGTTAAAAAGAGTTCTGATTGAACATTATAGTCCAAAGCGGTTAGTTATCGCTGAAAGGTATAAATTTTATAATACAAATCAAGAGCCTCAGGAGGATATTAAAAGTTTTGTGTCAAAACTGAAAAGTGTTGCTCAATATTGTACATTTGGGCAATTTTTGAAAGAATGTCTCAGAGACAGGTTTGTATGTGGTGTACGATCAATCCAAATAAGACGTAAACTCCTGGCAGAAGACATTTCCTTTGAAAGAGCTTATGAGATAGCCTTGTCAATAGAACTTACAGAAGGTCAAGTTAGAAGGATGGAACAGGAAAATGTAGCGGCAATAGAAGGGAAGTTAGATAAAGTAATGCTCATAAAGAGGGCAGCTACAGTGAAGAAAGATGATGGCCATCAAACTGGTAGAAGTAATGTCCAACCTAAGTCATGCTCTAGATGTGGTAGAAAACATGACTCATCAAAATGTCCAGCCAAAGCATGGCAATGTTTCAGTTGTAAGAAAGTGGGACATACAAGTGCAGTATGTCGTTCGAAAGTTAGTTTGTTAGAAGAAGATGATTGACAGGATGAAATTGAGGAGGAAAATTCATTATTTCTAGGCTTCTTGTCTTCATTGGAACCTGAAAATTCAGCTCCAGAGAAAATAGTATTAGAAGTAGAGGGTAATTCAATTTTATTTGACATTGATACAGGTGCATGTCGTACAGTAATTCATATAAAGGACTTTAAAAAGTTTTTATCAGCTTTAAATATTTATTCTGTTAAGTATTGTTTAAAGGTATTAACTGGCGAGGGAGTAAAAAATTGTGGGAGAAACTGATGTATTAGTAAAATATAAAAACAATACTATAAAATGACCTATTGTCATTTTAGAAAGTAAACATAATTTTACTCCACTGTTGGGTAGGAATTGGTTAAATGTATTGCATCCTAATTGGAGACAAATAGTTAACTTTTCACATAATGAATTTGTTAGTCAGCTGGAATTGGAAAACCTTGAAACTTCAAGTTTAATTTCACAATTAAAAAGGGAATTTAAGTCAGATTTTGATGAGAATAATAATTCATTCATTAAGGGTTTTGAAATTGATTTAAATTTAAAAGAAAATGCGCAACCCATTTTTCATAGGGCCTATGATATGCCATTTGCCCTAAAAGATAAAGTTGAATTGGAAATAAAAAAAATAGTGGAGTTAGGAATTTTAGAAAAAGTCATTTACAGAAACTGGGCTAGTCCCATAGTAGTAGTTCCAAAAAAATTATCCGAGGTACTAAGAATTTGTGTATATTTAAAAAAAAAAACATTAAACAAAGTCTTAGATAATAGGGAGTTAAAGTGCAGGGCAAAACGTTAACGTTAACGTATAATTTGACAGCCACTCGTGCGCAGTAGAGGAATACACACGTTTGCGTTAACGGGTCTCCGTAACCTTGCGTGCCTTTACGGATTCCCTTAACGTTATCCAAATTGTTCCGAGTATTGCTGTCTGCAAAATTGCCGAATGTCTGTAAAATATCCGAAAATTAAAAAATTTTTGTTGTTTTGTGATTTTAACCAAAGATTCATCTTTTGTTTGTATTATTGTAACCTAAAAATAGTGAAAAAAATAAAAAAAAAATGACGGAAATCAATTTTCCAATAAGTTATTACCAAATACATGTAGAAGTACAGCATCGTCCATGTCATCATCCTCGAAATCAGATTCCCCACACATTTCAAATATTAAAATTACCAGAAAATATCTTCGCATGTCTAAGCAGACATAAATACTTTACAGTTTTAGATTTAAAAGGTACTTATCTATTCTTTGTTTCAAGTTAAGAAAATAACATTACGCTTATGGAGATCAGTGTTGCCAAAACTCTCAGACACTCTCTTTTGCACGGATGTCCAAGATATTCCCTTTGCTTAATTTTTGAATTTTCATTTTCAATTAACATTTAACTGTAAAATGAGAATAATTACTAAATAAAAGCCTTATTATCATTATGTAGTCAGAGAACGACATAAAATAGCTGACATACGCACATCGTGTTATTTTAAGTTGCAATTAGTAATTAGATATACGCATTCCAAGCGGTCAATATTTTCTACTGATTTCTATGATTCATGGCATATCGTATTCTCACCGAAAAACAAATAAACTGTTGTTACTATAATTAAAATAAGATAAAATAATTTATCTTTTGTAAATACTATTTATCTAATTAAAATCATTTTTTCTACTTTTCATCTCTTGTTTCGAATGGGCACTTTTGGTCAATTACGTTAAAAAACATTAATTTAATTCATGTTTGTGGAAACGAAAATACAAATTATACAACCCTAAATTGTGCTTGTGTGTCTCGTGGCAACGCCGCGTTTCTATCGTCCGATACATGGCCCTATCCCCGCAATGTTATTTTCTAAACGTGGAACGTAGTATAGTATGTAGTAATGGTGTAATAAAATTTACACACGCAAATGATATGAGAAAAGACACGAGGTGAAGATAGAATCCCAGATTCTAATGAAGCTCAAGCAGAACTTCCTATAGTGAGTGATGATGTGCCAGTGTTACGTGACAGCGTTACAATGGAAATCCCAGTGAATCCAAATTTGAAAAATGAGCCTATTCAATTAGAACCGAAGAAGCCCATTCCAAGTTCATCACAAGAAGAAACAAACACATCTATACCGAGTGATGAAACATCCAATGATTGCAATATTAGAACGCGCTCTGAAAGACTAGTAAAAGCTCCCATTAAGCTTGATCTCTAACGAGGGAGGAGATGTTGTATATGAGTCCGGCAGCGGAATAAGAGACACTGTGAAAAAGACTAGGGGTCGATGGTCGAAAGTGAGGTTAGGAGGTGGAAGGCCGTGTGTCTACGGAGCCATCCATAATGTATGTTTGTAACCACTGTATATTTAAATAAATAGTTTTGTACAATAGTCGGTGCCTCATTAAATACATAACAGTTATTAATGACGGTTATTAAAGAAAGTATAATAAAATATAATATACTTTCAATGGATAAAAATTAAACTTGCATGCACAACAAACAAATTTTAATTTGAATTATATTTTTTTCAGAAACTATAAATCGGACCAAAAGAAATATACCTTTGAAAGGTATAATATATGTATAAATAAATAAGTATTATTATTATACAATGATATCTAGCCAAAGCAGAGTTACTAAACTAAATAAAATCAAACAAATTTTCTAACAAGGTAAAAATAAAAAGTAAAAATAATATTCAAAAGAATTAGTTCTTAGAAAAAGTTCATACAATAATAGCAAATTAGAAAAATGCAATCATTACTAAATACAGTCCTCTCTCTCAAGGGACGCAAGATATGCAAGGGACCTAGAATTTTCATCGTTATAAGGAGAGATAGTTATACAGAGAGAGACAAAATGCAGTACTGTAATATTAATGATACTGTACTAAATAACCTATTTTAATTTAAAAAATGTATCGAAACGAATATAAATGAATTAACACTGTATTGTACACCACATATATTTATTAAAGAATAATATAAATAATACAGTATAAAAAAAATGACTACAATTAAAACATGTGTACTGTACAATAACAAAATAATATGCTACTGTAAAATATATTTAGCCTACATTACCAAAAAAGTCTGTCACCTTTGCCCTTTCCACAGAACTGACCTTGCCCTGAAGATGCATAAAATCTTCCACAGCACTCATATCGTCTTCCTGGCGGATGAAGAATAAATGCTGTACTTTGAATAAATGCTGACAGCATGAGCAGGGCAATTGTCTACAAGCAGAAGAATTTTTTGCCCTTTTAGCTCGATATCCCACTTACTTTCTTATTGCTTCTTCAAAAATTTTGAAATTCATCCATGCACTATTGTTTGCTTTATAGGTCACTGGTAGATTTTTTATGTTTTTAAAGCAACGTGGGTTTTCGACTTCCCTATCACTAACAATTTTCACTTCACCAAACCTGTAATGTTAGCGGCCACTAAAACTGTAATGCGTTCCTTAGAGAACTTCCTACTAACACGCTTTTCTGATTTAAATTTTAAACTTCTGTTTGGTGTCATTTTAAAAAACAATCTAGTCTCATCAGCATTGAAAATGCTGATGAGACTGGATTGTTTTTTATGTTTGATGCATATCGTGCCTCCAGTCCAGGCCACACGTTTTCTTGCAAATCATCCGTTATGTTTTTGTTAACATCTCGAGCCTCTACGCTGATTTGCCTGTAGTTGATCTTGTGCCGCAGCCTCCACTTGCTCAGCCAACCCTCAGATGCCTCGAAATTCTCCATTCCAAGCTCAGTTGCAAAAAACTCAGCTTTTCTCCTAACCACGGGTCCAGAAAGTGAAATATGGTTTATACACTGCTGCTGGAACCACTGAAGCATAACGCGATATAAATTTTCGCGCTTAGGTTTCCCCAACCTCTTCCTGCTACCGCCCTCCTTCTCAGCTTCAAGCCACTTTTTTCTGTCCTTTCATATCGTAGCCACAGTTGACTGACACAGCCCCGTACGGCGCACTACGTCAGATTGCTTTTCACCTATTGCTCGAGTTATCGATAACTTTTCACTGAGAGCATGTTACGCTTTTTCGAAAACATGTGGACTGTTGACACACTGTGACACAACTCAATCTGGAAATGAAAAGTCGTCAATAGATGACAACATCTGTGTGATAACAGTTAGGCACGCCGCCCGAACAATAAAAGCGAGTCACTTAACCCTCTGATAAGAATGAGTAGAATGGCTGGCCTCATTCCTTAAGTGCAAAACAAAACAACCGCTGAACAATGACCTTGCCACTCGAGACTCAGTCTGAACTCTAAACATAATAACACATTTGTCATCGACTATTGAACGCTGAAAAGTCATCGCTATAAAGAGAGAACGATATCGGTATAGAGAAAGAATTAATACATTGTCCTTATGATGGACCAACCAACGTTTACTATTTTCATTGTTATAGAGGAATTATCATTATATATGGAATTGTGATAAAGAAAGATTACTGTATACATAAAATTTCCAAATGTATTCTAATGAAGAGAAAACATATAAAATATATCCTTACATTATTACAGTATTATACAGTTTTCATAAAAAAATTACAAACATTTTACAAAGTTAACATAAGATTAGGTACAATATTCAGTTAGTTTTCATCAAACTTGTTTTTGAAACTGTTTAAACTAGTAGCTTCTACTATAACATTCTACTATACTGCTCCAATTGTCAAAAACTCATGTTAATCAAAAAGTTTTTCTTAGTTTTAAAAGACTTATTTTTCAATTTATAGCAATGACCTCTTAGTCTAGCATCTTCGCTGATATTAAAAAAGTTTGATGTTCTCTAAAATCCCCCTAAGAATTCTATAATTAGATATGATACCACCTTTTCTCACCTGTGAGTTTATAGAGAACTTGAGCTTTTTTAGTCAGGTTTCACAGTTTAATCTTTCATAATTAAAAGATACCTTATTAGCTCTTCATTGTATCTCTAATAAATTAATCAGCCCTGAGATATACCATCGAAATTGTTTTTAATGTTTTGTGTTAAGCTAAAATAACTCTGGCAGATAAATATCTCGATAACTTTTAAGGTAAATTCCGTGTGATGTATAGCGCTGTTAAACGATGAGTTTAACCAAGTGTTGGAGCAACCAAAATAAAGGTGAGAAATTATACCATAAAAGTAGGTAGAACAGTAAAATCCCTGAATGTATATAAATGTAAAAACAACTTTATTCTTGTATCTCTCAATTTGTCTTTTCCATTTTGTCATCCGCAGTGCACAATTCACATAATGACATTATAGACCATAAATTTCTGGAATCAGCAAGCTGATTCCATGCATAGTGCGATAGAAAAAGCAAAAAGGGGAGTAATTTCTTTATTCCCTGAACGATTGATTAAATATCTTTCAGATAGAGGCCAACAAATCAACCAAAAGATTTACCCATGCTTTACAAAAAACAGCTACCTATCAGAATTCAGAACAAGAAACATTTAATGAAATTGTGCAAAAACAACATTATACCAGATGAATTTTGAGGTTGGTACAGGTCTCTTCCCACATCAAAACTTGTAACAGATGTCATACTTGAACCAGTTGTTCAGGACAGTGATACTGAAGAGGACCTAAGTGATCACAATTCTTTCTGAGTTAGTGTCTGAACTTAACTATCTGTATATCTGTTTTTTAATAATATAAAGATTAAAAACTTTTTTCTCTTTTCTTACAAAATGTTTTACCCCATAAATATTAATTTATAGATTTAAATGTTTGAACCGTTATATTAAATACAGTAGTCAGGGTAATGGAAACACTATTTGAAATTTCATGATGTCTATGAATTTAAAATTTACTTAAAAATATATTGTTTCAGATTTTAATAAAATAAAAGCTTTTGGCTATTATACGAAAAGTTTACGGTAAAATGTCTTAAAAACTAGTAGGAAAAAGTCACAAAAAAAGAAGGTATCCAATGTTTCCATTTAGCCCACAAATTTTAAGAAAATAAACTAAAAAGGGGATAAACTGTTAAACATAATCTAAATGAAACTGGAGTAACATGATACATGGTTTGTAATCTAAAAATGTTGCAAGTTTGGTCCATTAAATACGCCAATGTTTCCAATTACCCCCAAATATATCAAATGTGCCCCAAATATATCAAATTCACTTATTTACTGACATTCAAAAATATCTAACTTATTAGGAAACTTGTAAATCATTCTTTCACCTAAAAATATTTGGCTCAGGGGCTATACCAATAATTTGTTGGAAGTTGAAGAAACTAATGTCAGTTTCCTGGTATGGCAAATTACTTGCAGGTACCATTCATACATTTTAGAGCTGTAACCTTAATTTTATTTTCATCCCAATCAATATCTTCGATCATACAAAGATATCTGGAAGATGTTGTCAGCCTTTTACTGCTCTTGAATTCTACTAATACAAATTTCCCCTGCTGGAGTTTGTGGTGTTATGCAGCCTCTAGTTCTTTTAGCTCTTCTTCTACCGGTTTATCCCATGGACTGTCATCACTCTCAGCATCAGATACTTCTGTTTCACTTTCACTTGCATTAGATGACGACAATGACTCTTTACGTTTCTTTGTATTTGTATTTTTACTTGCTACTGGAGTTTCAAGCGAATCAGCAATTTTTCGAACTTTATTTCTTTTTCCATTTCCTTTCTGCTTTGTAAGATTCTCCTGTTCAAAACGTCACTAGCAGTTAATACTTCTCCATAGGCCATGGAGAAGTATTAATATACTTCTCCATGGGCCATAATACTGTTTTAGCTGAGTTCTTATCCTTTTCTCCATGGGAGCAATTTCTTTAACTGTGTCAAGTTTTCATGTTGTTCTTGCTGACTCCACATGAAATATACGGTCTGTTTTTGCAGAAAATTTATAATCTTTGCAATATATCTATATCTCTATAACGAGTTAACCTTTTCATTGATTTACATATTAAGTTCTTAAAGCTCAGATCCTTGTACTAGAACTCAATAACCTAAAGTGTTAAAAGAATCCAATAAAAACATATAAAGGTTCAACTTAAAAATCAGATGTTATGTTTATTGCCCTAAACCAATCATTGTCACCAACGATGTAATATACTTTAGATTTTAGTACGTTGTAGTATATTACATCCTTAATTGTCCCATAGTTTTATCATTTATCTTGCCAGAGTTATATTCATCTGACTCATTCTTCAAACATTTCAGATCAAAGGTGGATGGTTGAC